CGCCCCGCCCCCCCCCCGGCATCGCCCGATGCCGTCACAAGTTAAAGCGCTTTAAGTTGTGACGGGGCCCGCGGTGACGTCACCCTCCGCCCCTCCCCCCCCCCCCCCTTTCCCGAGCGCTCGGAAGCGATCGTGTCCTTGGGGCAGAAACTCCGGATTCGGCTTTTTTAGTTCTTTTGGAGAGTTTTCATCGTTTTTCCCCCTTTTTTAACATTTTGCTTTGTCATTTTTCCCCTTTTTTTTTGACTCTTTCATTTCTTTTATTTTCCCCTGTTGGATTTCTTCCCTTTTTTCTTCTTTCTCGTTTAATTTTCCCCCTTTTCACGTTTTTCTCCCCATTGTGTTTTTTCCCTTTTATACTTTTTTTTGCTATTTCCCAATTTTTAATTTGCCCCTTTTTCTTTTTTCTATTTTTCCTCTTCTTATTTTTTCCTTTAAAATTTTCCCTTTTTTATATTTTTCCCTTTTTTCATTTCCCCCCTTTTTACATTTTTTCCCCATTTTTAACTTTTTCCCTTTTTTGATCATTTTCCCATTTTTTCCCATTTTCCCTTTAAATTTTTATTTTTTTTGTTTTCCTTTTAAACTTTTTTCCTTTCGAACTTTTTTAATTTTTCCATTTTTATTATGTTCCTTTAAATTTTTTCTTTTTATTATTATTTTTTTTACCATTTCCCTTTTTTGATCATTTTTCCTTTTCACCACTTTCCCTTATTTCCCGTTTTCCATTTTAAAATTATTTTACCTTCTTGATACTTGTTGCTTCATTTTCCTTTATTAAATTGTTTTAAAAATCATCATTTTCGTGGTTTCTTTTATTTTCCCTTTAAACATCCTTTTCCCTTTCTTTGCTTTTCCCCTCTTTTAACCTTTCCACTTCTTTAATTTCCCCTTTTTACATCATTTCCCCCTTTTTCCCACTTTCCCTTTCAAAATTCTATTTCCCTTTTTATTATTTTCCTTTTTTAAAACCATTTTTTTCTCTTTTCCCCCTTTCTTGGATTCATTTCCCCTTTTTCCTCACTTTTCCTTTCTCATTTCCTCTTTTCGCATCCCCCTCCCCGTGACTTTCCCTTTTCTTTCACTTTCCCTTTCGCCACTTCCGTTCCCTTTGATTCTTTTCCCTTTTCTCCTCCTTTTTCTCCTTTCACTTTTCCATTTTTCACCATTTCTCCTTTTATTTTGCTCATTTCCTCCTTTTTTCCTCCACCACTTTCACCTTTCCCCCCCCATTTTCGTTCCCCCTCCCCATAACTTTCACTTTCGCTCCTTCCCCCCTCCCCCCAAGCCGCTCTCGCGCTCTTTCACCACTTTCACTTTCTTCTCCCGGAACTTTCCCTTTTCCACTTCCGCTTTTCCCGCGTTTTCCTTTGGCTCCGCCCCCCCAGGCCCCGCCCACCTGCGAGTCACCGGCCAAGGTCGCCATCCTCATCCTCACCGTCATCACCAACCCCCCCCCCCCCGACGTCATCACCAGCGTCATCACCAGCGTCATCAGCGTCACCGCCACCCCCCGCCCCTCCCCCGCATCGTGTCTGTGGCTCGTGGACACGGGGGGGGGAGGGGCGGCCGCCTCGCGCGGGGACGGGGGGGGGGAGGGGAGGGGAAGGGGGAGGGGAGGGGGAGGGGCAGCTCCTTGCACGGGCGCGAGGCCCTGCACACGCGCCCCCTCCCCCCGCACGAGGACTGAGGGTGCCCCCTCGCTCCCATCCCCCCACCCCCCCCCCGCACACACGCACCCCCCCCCCTCGTGCAAAGGGGGGGGAGGGGGGGGATGGGGCCCTCCCGGGCGTGTGTTCACGCGCGTGTGACCCCCCGTGACCCCGCCCCTCCCCCAGGGCCCGCCGAGGTCACCGAGGGGGGAACCGGCCACGGCGCCGGAGAGATCCAGCAGGCGGCGAAAGGTCAGTGACCTGCACACGCGTGGGCACGCGCACATGCAAACACATATGTGCATGCACACGTGTTCACACACACACATGCAAACACATATGTGCATGCACACGTGTTCACACACACACATGTACACATGGACACACATGCAACCACGCACACATGCAAACACATATGTGCATGCACACGTGTTCACACACACACATGCAAACACATATGTGCATGCACACGTGTTCACACACACACATGTACACATGGACACAGAAACATGCAACCACGCACACAGGCAAACACATATGTGCATGCACACGTGTTCACGCACATACATGTACACACAAACATGCAAACACACGCACACATGCAAACACATATGTGCACGCACACGTGTTCACGCACACACATGTACACGCAAACATGCAAACACACGCACACATGCAAACACATATGTGCACGCACACGTGTTCACACACACGTACACGCAAACATGCAAACACACACATGCAAACACATATGTGCACGCACGCGTGTTCACACACACACATGTACACATGGACACAGAAACATGCAAACGCACACATGCAAACACATGTGCATGCACACGTGTTCACGCACATACATGTACACGCAAACATGCAAACACACGCACACATGCAAACACATATGGGCACGCACACGTGTTCACGCACACACATGTACACGGAAACATGCAAACACACGCACACATGCAAACACACGTACACGCACACATGTGCACACATGTACATGCACACATGGACACACAAACATGCAGACACACACAAACATGCAAACACATATGTGCACGCACACGTGTTCACGCACACACATGTACACATGGACACAGAAACATGCAAACACGCACACATGCAAACACATGTGCACGCACACGTGTTCACGCACACACATGTACACACAAACATGCAAACATGCAAACACACGCACACATGCAAACACACGTACACGCACACATGGACACACAAACATGCAGACACACAAACATGCAAACACACGTACACGCACACATGTGCACACATGTACATGCACACATGGACACAGAAACATGCAGACACAAACATGCAAACACACGTACATGCACACATGGACACACAAACATGCAGACACACAAACATGCAAACACACGTATGGGCACGCACACATGTGCACACATGTACATGCACACATGGACACACAAACATGCAAACACGCACACATGCAAGCACATATGTGCACGCACACGTGTTCACGCACACACATGTACACGCAAACATGCAGACACACACAAACATGCAAACACACGTACATGCACACATGTGCACACATGGACACGCACACATGGACACACAAACATGCAAACACGCACACAGGCAAACACATATGTACACGCACACATGTTCACGCACACACATGTACACGCAAACATGCAAACGCACACATGCAAACACACATACACGCACACATGTGCACACATGTCCATGCGCACATGGACACACAAACATGCAAACACGCACACATGCAAACACATATGTACACACACGTGTGCACACGCACACACATGTACACGCAAACATGCAAACACACACAAACATGCAAACACACGTACACGCACACATGTGCACACATGTACACGCACACATGGACACACAAACATGCAAACACACGTACACGCACACATGTGCACACATGTACATGCACACATGGACACACAAACATGCAGACACACACAAACATGCAAACACGTACACGCACACATGTGCACACATGGACATGCACACATGGACACACAAACATGCAAACACGCACACATGCAAACAAGTACACGCACACATGTACACACACATATGTACATGCACACACGTACACACATGCAAACATGTAAACGCACACATCTGCACGCACACATGTACACACAAACATGTACATGCACACATGCACATACATGTACACACACACATGCAAACACACGCACACATGCAAACACACGCACACATGCAAACACGTACACGCACACATGGACACACAAACATGCAAACACAGGCACACATGCAAACACATATGTGCACGCACACGTGTTCATGCACACACATGTACACACAAACATGCAAACACACGCAAACACGCAAACACACGCACACATGCAAACACACGTACACGTGGACACACAAACATGCAAACACACATACACGCACGCAAACACACGTACACGCACACATGGACACACAAACGTGCAAACACGCACACATGCAAACAAGTACACGCACACATGTACACACACATATGTACACGCACACATGCAAACACACATAAACACACACATGTGCACACACACGTGTACATGCACACACATGTACATGCACACATGTACACGCACACATGTGCACATATGTACACGCACACGTGCACACATGTACATGCACATGTACACACACATGCAAACATACATGCACACGTGCATACACATGTACACACACATGTACACGCACACATGCAAACACATGTACACGCACACACATGTACATGCACACGTGCATACACATATGTACACGCACACATGTACAGTCACGCATGCAAACGTACATGCGTACACATGTACACCCACACATGTGCACACACATGTACACGCACATGTACATGCAACATGCAAAACATGTACATGCACACACATGTACGTGCACACATGTGCACACACGTATACGAACACATGCAAACACATGTACACGCACATACATGTACACGCACACATGCAAACAGATGTACACGCACACACATAAAAACACGTGCGCATACATGTACACACACATGGAAACATATAAAGCACGCACATGTACACACGTATGTACACGCACACATGCACACGTGTATGCACAAACGTGAGCATATATGTACACGCACACGCATGTACTCACCCATATGTACATGCACACATATGTACATACGCATGTACAAACACACATGCAAACACATATGCACGCACCTGCACACACCTGCACATGCAAACACGTGTACGCACACACATGTACACGCACACACATGTACACATATATATGCAAACACGTGTGCACACACATGCCCACGCATGTGCACTCACACATGTACATGCACACACATGCTTGCATACACACGTGTGCACTCCCATGCACGCCCACATGTGCAAGCACATGCATACACACGTTCTTACGCATGCATACACACATGTGCACACACACACGTACATGCACGCACGTGCTTGCATGCGCACGCAAATGCACATACACGCACACACGTGCTTGCGCATGCATACACATGTATATTCATACACACACATACAAACACACATATGTACCTGCACGCACGTGCTTGCACACACACGTGTACACTCACACTCACACGCAGCCAGCCCCACACCCTTGCACGCCCCACGCGTGCCGATGCGCTGCGCACGCGGCTCTCCCTGCGAATGCCCTGGCGGCCCCACGAGCGCAGCCCTTGCACGCTCAGGTTGCACCCGCTGCATCCCTCGTGCAAGGGAGCAGCGCTGCGGGACCCTGCTGCAACTCTCGTGTTGCCAGGTCCCTGTTTGGGAGCCCTCGTGCAAGCCCCCGTTGCAAGGACCCCAGTGCAAGGCTCCCCGTGCAAGAGCCTCTTGCAAAGGCCCCGTGCAAGCCCCCGGTGCAAGGTCCCCCTTCAAGCCCCCGTTGCAATCCCTCATTGCAGCCCCTGCGCCCACCACCGCCGCACGCCCCTGGTGCAGGGTCGCCGTTCAAGATCCCTGCTGCAAGCCCCATTCCAAGCCCCCAGTGCAAGGTCCTCTTCCAATCCCTCAATGCAACCCCCCGTGCCCACCACGAGAGCTGTGCCCCTCATCACAACCCTGCTGCAAGGTCCCAAGTGAAAGATCCCAATGCAAGGTCCCCGTTCAAGGTCCTGTTCCAATCCTCCAATACAATCCCCTGTCCCAATCCCCCTCTTCAACCCCTGTGTCCCACCACCGCCACCACCGCACCCCCTGGTGCAAGTCCCAAGTGCAAGATCCCATTGCAAGGTCCTCATTTAAGGTCCTGTTCCAATCCCCCATTGCAATCCCCTCTCCCAATCCCCTTCTTCAACCCGTGTCCCACCACCACCACCACCGCACCCCCTGGTGCAAGTCCCAAGTGCAAGATCCCAACGCAAGGTCCCCATGGAAGGGCCTGTTCCAATCTCCCAATGCAATCCCCTGTCCCAGTTGCCCTCTTCAACCCCTGTGTCCCACCACCACCACCACCACACCCCATGGTGCAAGTCCCACGTGCAAGATCCCAACGCAAGGTTCTCATTCAAGGTCCTGTTCCAATCCCCCAGTACAATCCCCTGTCCCAATCCCCCTCTTCAACCCGTGTCCCACCACCACCACCACCACCGCACTGCCTGGTGCAAGACCCAAGTGCAGAATCCCAATGCAAAGTCCTCATTCAAGGTCCTGTTCCAATCCCCCATTGCAATCCCCTCTCCCAATCCCCCTCTTCAACCCGTGTCCCACCACCACCACCACCGCACTGCCTGGTGCAAGTCCCAAGAGCAAGATCCCAATGCAAGGTCCTGTTCCAATCCCCCATTGCAATCCCCTCTCCCAATTCCCCTCTTCAACCCGTGTTCCACCACCACCACCACCGCACCCCCTGGTGCAAGTCCCAAGTGCAAGATCCCAACGCAAGGTCCCCATTGAAGGTCCTGTTCCAATCCCCCATTGCAATCCCCTCTCCCAATCCCCCTCTTCAACCCGTGTCCCACCACCACCACCACCGCACCCCCTGGTGCAAGTCCCAAGCGCAAGATCCCAACGCAAGCTCCTGTTCCTATCCCCCATTGCAATCCCTTGTTCCCACACCACCACCACTGCTCCCCACGCGCTGACGCCGCAACCCCGGGGTCCCCGCAGGCCGGGACGAGTACGTGGCCACCTTCAAAGGCAATGAGTTCTTCTGCTACGACCTGTCGCACAACCCCATCCAGAGCAGCACGGACGAGCTGACGCTGTCGTTCCGCACGGCGCAGCGCAACGGGCTGCTGCTGCACACGGGCAAGGCGGCCGACTACGTCAACCTCTCGCTCAAGAGCGGCGCCGTGTGGCTCGTCATCAACCTGGGCTCCGGCGCCTTCGAGGCGCTGGTGGAGCCCGTCAATGGCAAGTTCAACGACAACGATTGGCACGACATCCGCGTCACCCGCAACCTGCGGCAGGTACGGCTGGGGGCGCCGCCAGGCACCGGGGCAATGGGTGGGATGGACAAGGGCTCAAATGGGGGCAATGGGTGTCTTGATCAAGCACCCAACTGGGGTCAGAGGGTTTTTTTGGTCAAGCACCCAACTGGGGACAATGGGTGTCTTGGTCAAGCACCCAACTGAGGGTAATGAGTGTCTTGGTCAAGCACCCAACTGGGGTCAGAGGGTTTTTTTGGTCAAGCACCCAACTGGGGACAATGGGTGTCTTGGTCAAGCACCCAACTGGGGAAATCGGGTGTCTTGGTCAAGCACCCAACTGAGGGTAATGAGTGTCTTGGTTAAGCATCCAACTGGGGACAATGAGTGTCTTGGTCAAGCACCCAACTGGGGACAATGAGTGTCTTGGTCAAGCACCCAACTGGGGAAATTGGGTGTCTTGGTCAGGCACCCAACTGGGGACAATGAGTGTCTTGGTCAAGCACCCAACTGGGAACAATGAGTGTCTTGATCAAGCACCCACTGAGGGCAATGAGTGTCTTGGTCAAGCATCAAACTGGGGGCAATGGGTGCCTTGGTCAAGCACCCAACCTTGGTCAACTCCCTGACTGGGAGGACTAGGAGGGATAGTCAAGTGCCCAACTGAGGGCAATGGGTGCCTTGTCCACTACTCAACTGGAAGCACTGGGTGCCTTGGTCAAGCACCCAGCCTTGGTCAAGCCCTCCAGTTGGGAGGACTAGGTGGGATGGTCAAGCACCCAACTGAGGGCAATGAGTGTCTTGGTCAAGCACCCAACTGGGGCAATGGGTGTCTTCTTCAAGCACCCAACTGAGGGCAATGAGTGTCTTGGTCAAGCACCCAACTTTGGTCAATTGCCCAGCTAGGAGGACTGGGTGTGATAGCTGCCCAGCTGGGGGCAATAGTGTCTTGGCACTGGGTGCCTTGGTCAAGCACCCAACCCTGGACAGCTCCCCAACTGAGGGCAATGGGTGTCTTGGTCGGTACCCAACTGGAAGCACTGGGTGTCCTGGTCAAGCACCCTGGACAGTTCTCCAACTGCGGGCAATGGGTGTCTTGGTCAAGCACCCAACTGGAAGCACTGGGTGTCTTGGTCAAGCACCCAACCCTGGACAGTTCTCCAACTGTGGGCACTGGGTGCCTTGGTCAAGCACTCCACCTTGGACAGCTCCCCAGCTAAGGGCAATGGGTGTCTTGGTCAAGCACCCAACTGGAAGCACTGGGTGTCTTGGTCAAGCACCCCACCTTGGCCAGCTCCCCAGCTGAGGGCAATGGGTGTCTTGGTGGTCTCCCCAGCTGGGAGCAATGGGTGCCTTGGTCCAGTACTCAACTTGGAGCAAGGGGTGCCTTGGTCAAGCACCCTGCTGAGGACAGTGAGTGACTTAGGTAAGCACCCAACTGAGGACAATGAGTGCCCTGGTTAAGCACCCAACTGAGGACAATGGGTGTCTTGGTCCAGTACTCAACTGGAAGAACTGGGTGTCTTGGTCAAGCACTCAACCTTGGACAGCTCCCCAGCTGAGGGCAACGGGTGCCTTGGTCGATCACCCAACCTTGGCCAACTGCTCAACTGGGAGGCAGTGGGTGTCTTGGTGGTCTCCCCAACTAGGAGCACTGGAAGCACTGGACATGATGGTCAACCACCCGACCTTGGTACACTGCCCAACTGGGAACACCAGACATGCTGTTCAACCACCCAACTGGGGGCACTGGGTGTCTTAGGCAGCTCCCCAACTGGGAGCATTGGGCACCTTAGTCCAGTATCCAACCGGTGGTGATGGACACCAGGGTCTGCTCCCCAGCTGGGAGCACTGTGTGTGTTGGTGAACTACCTAACTGGGACTACTGGGAGCACTGGTTGCCTTGGTCCAGTACCCAACTGGGGGTGTTGGACACTGGGGCCTACTCCCCAACTGGGAAGCACTGAACATGTTGGTCAAACACCCAGCTGGGAGCATTGGGAAAACTGGTGCCTTGGTCTGGTACCAACTGGGAGCTCTGGTTCCTTGGTCAACAAATCAACTGGAAGCACTGGGAGCACTGGTTCCTTGGTCCAGTACCCAACTGGAAGCACTGGGAGCACTGGTTCCTTGGTCCAGTACCCAACTGGAAACACTGGGAGCACTGGTTCCTTGGTCCAGTACCCAACTGGAAACACTGGGAGCACTGGTTCCTTGGTCCAGTACTCAACTGGAAACACTGGGAGCACTGGTTCCTTGGTCCAGTACTCAACTGGAAACACTGGGAGCACTGGTTCCTTGGTCCAGTACTCAACTGGAAGCACTGGGAGCACTGGTTCCTTGGTCCAGTACCCAACTGGAAACACTGGGAGCACTGGTTCCTTGGTCCAGTACCCAACTGGAAACACTGGGAGCACTGGTTCCTTGGTCCAGTACTCAACTGGAAGCACTGTGAGCATTGGGAGCACTGGTTCCTTGGTCCAGTACCTAACTAGAAGCACTGGGAGCATTGGGAGCACTGGTTACTTGGTCCAGTACCCAACTGGGAGCACTGGTTCCTTGGTCCAGTACCCAACTGGGATCACTGGGAGCATTGGGAGCACTGGTTCCTTGGTCCAGTACCTAACTAGAAGCACTGGGAGCATTGGGAGCACTGGTTACTTGGTCCAGGACCCAACTGGAAGCACTGGGAGCACTGGTTCCTTGGTCCAGGACCCAACTGGGAGCACTGGTTCCTTGGTCCAGGACCCAACTGGGAGCACTGGTTCCTTGGTCCAGTACCCAACTGGGAGCACTGGTTCCTTGGTCCAAGACCCAACTGGGAGCACTGGGACCAGCGGTTCCTTGGTCCAGTACCCAACTGGGAGCACTGGCTCCTTGGTCCAGTACCCAACTGGGAGCACTGGTTCCTTGGTCCAGTACCCAACTGGGCGCACTGGTTCCTTGGTCCAAGACCCAACTGGGAGCACTGGGACCAGCGGTTCCTTGGTCCAGTACCCAACTGGGAGCACTGGTTCCTTGGTCCAGGACCCAACTGGGAGCACTGGTTCCTTGGTCCAAGACCCAACTGGGAGCACTGGGACCAGCGGTTCCTTGGTCCAGTACCCACCTGGGCACACTGGAACACCGGGCTCCCTGGGGGGGTGTCAGTGCCCCCCCCCCAACAACTCTTCTGCTCTCCCCAAGGTGGGCACAGCCCCCTTGTGCACCCACCCCCCTCGTGCAACGCCCCCCCCCCTTTTTCCCTCCTTGTGCAACGCCCCCCCCCCCCCCCCTTTCTGTGTGTGCGCGTGCCACTAACACGCTTCCCGCCTCTGGGGCCCCCCCCCCACTAACCAAGTGCCCCCCAACTAATCCCGGGGGGGCCCCTCCCCCCCCAAACCCCCCCGAACACGGCCCGAAGCTGCGGGAGAAGTCACTGTTTGCTGTGTTTTGTGTCCCCCCCCCGGCTCCCCCCGGCGCCAGCACGCAGGGATCGGACACGCTATGGTAAACAAACTGCATTACCTGGTAGTTATCACTCTCTTGTTCCCCCTTGGCTTCGCCTCGGCGCCCCCCCCCACACCCACACCCCCCCCCCCCTCCCCCCCACCCCGGGCCCCATTCCTGCCACAAGGGGCTGACCCCCAACTCCCCCTTTCCCCCCCCCCCCATCAAACAACCCGCGGGTCCCCAGGGCCAAAGCAGCTGCTTTTCCCCCCAAAATAACCTCAATATGGGGGGTGAAGGGAGGGGGGGGGTGAGGTCACACACACCCCCCCCACGCCTTGATTTTGGGGTGAATTCTTGGGATTTTGGGCCATCTGATACCCACCGTTGCGATAAGAGCATCGCCCCCAGACCTCAGCTCCCCCATGCTAAAAACGGTTGGGTTCCCCCCCCCCCCCCAAAATAAGCCCGGTTTTGGGTCAGCAGGGGATGTTTTTCCTCAGGAGGGTGATGGCACTTCCCACCCTCACCTCCTGCCCTCGTTTTGGGGTGAATTCTTGGGATTTTGGGGACATTTGATACCTCCCACTGCAGTCAGGGCATCACCACCAGTCCTCAGCTCCCCGATCCCAAAACCAGCCATTTCCCCCCCAAAATAAGCCCATTTCGGGTCAGGGAGCTGATGGGGGGGGGGGCAACCCCCTCCTTTTAGGGTGAATTCTTGGGATTTTGAGCAATTTCCTATCCCTGTCTCCCTGATGCCAAACCCACCCATTTCCCCCCCCCCAAACCCTGCCCCACAGGGGTGTCTCTGCTGCTCAATGGGGGGGGGGTCTCAAAGCCTCATTTTGGGGCATTTTCTTTGGGTTTTGGTCCCTCTGACCCCCCCTCCCCCTTTTGTAGGCAGCCAGGCCTGAGCTAGGCAGACCCAAACCCAGCTGATTTCACCCCAAAACCCCTTCTCGGATGGAAGGGGGGGGGGCTGTTTTTCCATGGGGGGGTTGACCTGAGCCCCCCAAACCCCACTTTTTGGGGTGCTTTCAGCCCAAAACCCGGCTCGCGGGGGGGTGGGGGCAGGTTTCGAGGTGGCCCCTCCCCAAAATGAGGACAGAAACGGCGTTTTCAGGACAAGCCCGTGGGCAGCTTCCCCCCTCTCCCCCCCCCCCCCCCCCCGGCACAGGCATCGGGACCCCCCCGCCCCCCCTCCGCTCTTCCCCCCCCCGGTCCCGCTGCTCGGAGCCCTTGCACCCCCTTGCATCCCCCTTGCACCCCCCTTGCACGCCCCTTGCACCCCCCTTGCACGGCTCACTAACACTGTGACCCCCCCCCCCCAAAGCCTTCCTTGCCCCCTCCCCATCCCTGTGTCCCGTCCCGCTCCCCCCCCACCCATGGGTGCTGCTGGGGGAGCACCAGGGCCAGAACCATCGCAGGGTGGGTGTGCAAAGGGCAAGGGGGGGACACGGGGGGTGTGCACTGGTGCAAGGGGCAGGATTGGTGCAAGGGGCGTGCGCTGGTGTGCAAGGGTGCGAGGTCCACGCAGTGTGTGCGTGTGCACGCGTGTCCGCTCGTGCAAGGGCTGCACTGGGGGTGCAGGATCGCGGGTGCAGGTAGCGGCGCATGGGGTGCGTGCGTGTGTGATCACGTGTGTGATCACGCGTGTGTGTGTGTGCTGACGTGTACACGTGCGCTCACACGCGTGTGCCTGTGTGTGCACTGACACGTGTACACATGTGCTCTCATACATGTGTGCCTGTGTGCTGACACGTGCACATGTGTGCTCTCACACGCGTGTGCCTCTGTGTGTGTGTGCTGACACGTGTACGTGTGCTCTCACATGCGTGTGCCTCTGTGTGTGTGCTGACACGTGTATGTGTGCTCTCATACATGTGTGCCTGTGTGCTGACACTTGTACACGTGTGCTCACACGCGTATGCCTCTGTGTGTGTGCTGACACGTGTACGTGTGCTCTCACATGCGTGTGCCTCTGTGTGTGTGCTGACACGTGTACGTGTGCTCTCATACATGTGTGCCTGTGTGCTGACACGTGTACACGTGTGCTCACATGCGTGTGCCTCTGTGTGTGTGTGCTGACACGTGTACACGTGTGCTCACACATGCCTGTGTGTGTGTGCTGACGTGTAGGTGTGCTCACACACCTGTGCCTGTGTGTGTGCTGACACGTGTACACGTGTGCTCTCATACATGTGTGCCTGTGTGCTGACACGTGTACACGTGTGCTCTCACACGCATGTGCCTCTGTGTGTGTGTGCTGACACATGTACACGTGTGCTCACACATGCCTGTGTGTGTGCTGACGTGTAGGTGTGCTCACACACCTGTGCCTGTGTGTGTGCTGACACGTGTACATTTGTGCTCTCACACGCGTGTGTCTGTGTGCTGACACGTGTACACGTGTGCTCACACGCGTGTTCCTGTGTGTGCTGACACGTGTACGTGTGCTCTCACATGCGTGTGCCTCTGTGTGTGTGCTGACACGTGTACACGTGTGCTCACATGCGTGTGCCTGTGTGCTCACGTGTACACGTGTGCTCTCACACACGTGTGCCTATGTGTGTTGACATGTGTACATGTGTACTCTCACAAGCGTGTGCCTGTTTGTGTGTGCTGACACGTGTACACGTGTGCTCTCATACATGTGTGCCTGTGTGCTGACACGTGTACACGTGTGCTCTCACACGCATGTGCCTCTGTGTGTGTGTGCTGACACGTGTACACGTGTGCTCACACATGCCTGTGTGTGTGCTGACACGTGTACACGTGTGCTCACACATGCCTCTGTGTGTGTGCTGACGCGTAGGTGTGCTCACACACACGTGTGCCTGTGTGTGTGCTGACACGTGTACATGTGTGCTCTCACACGCGTGTCTGTGTGCTGACACGTGAACACGTGTGCTCTCACGCGTGTTCCTGTGCGTGCTGACACATGTACACATGTGCTTTCACACATGTGTGCCTGTGTGTGTGTGCTGACACATGTACACGTGTGCCTGTGTTGACACGTGTACACGTGTGCTCTCATGTGCGTGTGCTGACACATGTACATGTGCGTTTACACACGTGTGCCTGTGTGTGTGCTGACACGTGTACATGTGCATTCACGCGCGTGTGCCTGTGTGTGTGCTGATACGTGTACATGTGTGCTCACATGCGTGTGCCTCTGTGTGTGCTGACAGATGTACATGTGGGCTCTCACACGCGTGTGCCTGTGTGTGTGCTCACACGCGTGTTCCTCTGTGTGCTGACACGTGTACACGTGTGCGCTCACAGGTGTATGCTTCTGTGTGTGTGCTGATACATGTACACGTGTGCTCTCACGCGTGTGCCTGTGTGTCCTGACATGTAGACGTGTGAGCTCACACGCATATTCCTGCGTGTGGTGACACTTGTACACGTGTGCACTTACATGCGTGTGCTTCTGTGTGTGTGCTGACACGTGTACACGTGTGCTTTCACACGTGTGTGCCTCTGTGTGTGTGTGCTGACACGTGTACATGTGTGTGCTCACGTGTGTGTGCCTCTGTGTGTGTGCTGACACGTGTACATGTGTGCTCACAGACGTGTGCCTGTGTGTGCTGACACGTGTACACATGCTCTCACACGCGTGTGCAAGTCGCACACGGGGCTGCCCCATCCCTGCCCAGGCCCTGGTGCTCCCCGTGTCCCCGCACGCGCCTTGCACGCCCGCTCATGCCCTTGCACCCCCATTGCACCCCTTGCACGCCTGCGCGCCCTGCCCCCACTAACAGCCATTTACCGTCTGAGCTTGGTTCTGAGGACCCCAAAACTCGATACTAACACACCCCCCCCCCCCCCAGTGTCACCCCCCCTTGTCCCCATTGTCACCCCATCCCCATGCCCCTCAGGGCTGCTCCATTGCCTCCCTGTGCCTTCGGGCCACCCTGTCCCCAGTGTTCCCCACTGCCCCCCATCTCTTCCCATGACCCCCATGTTGTCCATTGCCCCCCCCATGTCCTCCACATCTCCATGTCCCCCCCATCCTCATATCCCCCATTGCCCCCCATGTTCTTGCTGTCCCCATGTCCTCATTGCCCCCCATGTCTCCCATTGCCCCCCCATGTCCCCATTGCCCCCCATGTCTCCCATCCCCCCCCATGTCCCCATTGCTCCCCATGTCCCCATTGCCCCCAATGTCCCCATGTCTCCCATTCCCCCCCATGTTCCCATTGTCCCCCATGTCCCCATTGACCCCCATGTCCCCATTGCCCCCTATGCCCCCATGTCTCCCATTCCCCCCCATGTCCCCATTGACCCCCATGTCCCCATTGCCCCGTATGTCCCCGTTGTCTCCTATGTCCCCATTGCCCTCTATGTCCCCATGTCTCCCATTGCCCCATCCCCATTGCCCCCCATGTCCCCATTGCCTCCTATGTTCCCATGTCTCCCATTCCTCCCCCATGTCCCCATTGCCCCCCATGTCCCCATTGCTCCCCATGTCCCCATTGCTCCCCATGTCCCCATTGCCCCCTATGTCCCCATGTTTCCCATTCCCCCCCCATGTCCCCACTCCCCCCCATGTCCCCATTGCCCCCTATGTCCCCATGTTTCCCATTCCCCCCCATGTCCCCATTCCCCCCCATGTCCCCATTGCCCCTATGTCCCCATGTCCCCATGTCTCCCCCCATGTCCCCATTGCCCCCATTCCCCCCCATGTCCCCATTGCCCCCCATGTCCCCATTGCCCCCATGTCCCCATTGCCCCCCATGTCCCCATTGCCCCCCATGTCCCCATTGCCCCCCATGTCCCCATTCCCCCCCATGTCCCCATTGCCCCCATGTCCCCATTGCCCCCCATGTCTCCCATTGCCCCCATGTCCCCCCGTTCCCCTTGCCCCCCCCCAGACACGCTGTTGGGCTGGGGGGGTGCCGGCGCTGAGGCCGTGCGCCCTCGTGCCGCAGGTGACGATCTCGGTGGACGGGATCCTGACCACGACGGGGTACACGCAGGAGGATTACACCATGCTGGGCTCCGACGACTTCTTCTACGTGGGGGGGTCCCCCAACACCGCCGACCTCCCGGGGTCCCCCGTCAGCAACAACTTCATGGGCTGCCTCAAGGATGTGAGTGATGGGGGGCACGGCAACGGCGGGGGGATTGGGGGGGCATGGGGCAACGTGGAGGGGTGCGGAGGGATGTGGGGCGCACGGGGACACGCGGGGGGGCGCATGGGTGGGTATGGGGTGCGCGAGGATGGGTGGCGGGGTGCAGAGGGACATGTGGGCCATGGGGCCGCATGGAGGGGTGCAGAGGGGCACGGGAGAGGTGTTGCATGAGGATACACGCGTGAGACACGCATGATGCGTGAGACACGAGGCCACACGTGTGACACGCAGGGGGCCATGTGTTACACGAAGACACGTGTGACACACGTGTGACACACACGTGTTACACAAGGACACACGTGTGACACACATGGGGCCATGCGTTACACGAAGACACATGTGACACACACGTGTTACACAAGGACACACGTGTGACACGCATGGGGCCATGTGTTACACGAAGACACGTGTGACACACGTGTGACACGCACGTGTTACACAAGGACACACGTGTGACACGCACGTGTTACAAAAGGACACACATGTGACACTCGACACGTCTTGCATGAGGACACACGTGTGACACACGTTACAGAAGAACACATGTATGACACACACGACACGTGTTATGCGAGGACACACATGTGACACACATGACACGTGTTACATGACTACACACATGTGACACACGTGTTATACGAGGACACATGTGTGACACGACACGTGTTACATGAGGACACACGTGTGACACACAACACGTGTTACACGAGGACACGTGTGACACATGACACGTTACACAAGGGCACACGTGTGACACACATGACACGTGTTACATGACACACGTGTGACACACGACACATGTTACACAAGGACACACGTGTGACACAGGACATGTGTTACAAGAGGACATACGTGACACACGTGTTACATGACACACATGTGACACACATGACATGTGTTACACAACACACGTGACACACACGACACGTGTTACATGACACAATTTTGACACACGTGTTACATGACACACGTGTGACACACGTGTTACATGACACACGTGACACACACGTGTTACATGACACACGTGTGACACATATGACATGTGTTACATGAGGCCACATGTGTGACACAGGAGACGTTACACTATGACACACGTGTGACACATGACACGTGTTACATGACACACATGACACACACGACACGTGTTAGATGACGTGACACACACGCCATGTGTTACACGACACATGTGTGACACACGACACGTTACACGACACACGTTACACGACACACGTGACACATGTGTTAGATGACATGTGACACACGACACGTTACACAAGGACACGTGTGACACACATGACACGTGTTACATGACACGCGTGTGACACACGTGTTAGATGACGTGACACACACATGTTACATGACACACGTGTGACACGTGTTAGATGCCATGTGACGCACATGACACGTGTTACATGACACACGTGTGACACACGTTAGATGACACACGTGTGACACACATGACGTGTTACATGACACACATGTGACACGACACGTTACACGACACGTGTGACACGTTACACAACACACGTGTGACACACGTGTTAGACATGTGACACACACGACACGTGTTACACATGCGACACACACGTGACACACGACACACGTGTGACACACACGACACGTGTTACATGACACACGTGTGACACACGACACGTTACGACACATGTGTGACACACGTTACACGACACACGTGTAACACACGTTAGATGACATGTGACACACACGACACGTTACACAACACACGTGTGACAGACACGACACGTGTTACGACACACGTGTGACACACGACACGTTACATGACACATGTGACACACGTTACACGACACGTGTGACACACGTGTTAGATGACGTGACACATGACACGTGTTACAACACACGTGACACACACGTGTTACACCACACATGTGACACACATGACACGTGTTACATGACACACGTGTTACACGACACATGTGTGACACACACGTGTTACATGAGGACACACGTGTGACACACGACACGTTACACAACACACGTGTGACACACGTGTTAGATGACATGTGACACACACACACGTGTTACGCGAGGCCGCCCCCGTGCCCCCCGTGTGACGCCCGTTCCCCCCCGCAGGTGATCTACAAGAACAACGACTTCAAGCTGGAGCTGTCGCGCCTGGCGCAGGAGGGGGACGCGCGGGTGACCCTGCACGGGGCCCTGCTCTTCCGCTGCGAGCCGGTGGCCGCTCCGGAGCCCGTCACCTTCGGCACCCCTCAGGCCTTCCTGGCGCTGCCGCCCTGGCCGCCCGCCCGCACCGGCTCCGTCTCCTTCGACTTCCGCACCACGGAACCCAACGGGCTCCTGCTCTTGGGGCAGGGGCAGGCGCCGGGGCCCGGGCCCCCCCGGCCTCACTTCCTGGCGCTGGAGCTGTTGGACGGGCACCTCTACCTGCTGCTGGCCATGGGCGCCGGCGACACGCGGCTCCGCGCCAGCGCCCGCAAGGTCACCGACGGCGAGTGGTGCCACGTGGACGTGCAGCGGGACGGGCGCAGAGGTGAGGGGATTGGGGGGGACCCGTATCGCGGAGCCCCACGGTACCCCGCTTCCTACATCCCCATCACCCCCGTGTCCCGGATCTCCACGTCCCACACCTCCATGTCCCCGTATCGCCGGATTCCACACCTGTTATCTCCATGTCCCCGTATCTCCATAGCCCCTATTCCACATCCCATGTCCCCGTATCTCCATATCCCCTATTCCACATCCCATGTCCCCATATCTCCATATCCCCTATTCCACATCCCATGTCCTCGTATCTCCATATCCCCTATTCCACATCCCATGTCCCCATATCTCCATAGCCCCTATTCCACATCCCATGTCCCGTATCTCCATATCCCCTATTCCACATCCCATGTCCCCATATCTCCATAGCCCATATTCCACATCCCATGTCCCTGTAGCTCCATAGCCCGTATTCCACATCCCATGTCCCCGTATCTCCATATCCCCTATTGCACATCCCATGTCCCCTATCTCCATATCCCCTATTCCACATCCCATGTCCCCGTATCTCCATATCCCCTATTCCACATCCCATGTCCCCTATCTCCATATCCCCTATTCCACATCCCATGTCCCCGTATCTCCATATCCCCTATTGCACATCCCATGTCCCCATATCTCCATAGCCCCTATTCCACATCCCATGTCCTCATATCTCCATAGCCCGTATTCCACATCCCATGTCCCCGTATCTCCATATCCCCTATTCCACATCCCATGTCCCCTATCTCCATATCCCCTATTCCACATCCCATGTCCCCGTATCTCCATATCCCCTATTCCACATCCCATGTCCCCTATCTCCATATCCCCTATTCCACATCCCATGTCCCCGTATCTCCATATCCCCTATTGCACATCCCATGTCCCCATATCTCCATATCCCCTATTCCACATCCCATGTCCCCGTATCTCCATATCCCCTATTCCACATCCCATGTCCCCCATCTCCATATCCCCTAT